ACTCACTCACTCACTCACCTACCACTCACCCACTCACTCACCACTCACTCACCCACTCACTCACTCACCCACTCACCCTCTCACCCACCCACTCACCTACTCACTCACCCACCCACTCACCCACTCACTCACCACTCACCCTCACTCACCCAATCACCCACTCACCCACCCACTCACCCACCCACCCACTCACCCACTCACCCACCCACTCACCCACCCACTCACCCAACCATGCACTCACCCACTCACCCAGCCACCATCACCACCATCACCATCTCCACCACGATCATCACCATCACCACCATCCTCACCACCACCATCATCACCACCACCACCATCATCACCACCGCCATCATCACCACCACCATCACCACCATCATCACCACCACCATCACCATCATCACTACCATCATCACCACCATCATCATCACCACCATCATCACTATCACCACCATCCTCACCACTACCACCATCATCACCACCACCATCATCACCACCATCACCACCACCACCATCACCACCATCACTACCACCATCACCATCTCCACCACCATCATCACCACCACCACCACCACCACCATCATCACCACCATCACCATCTCCACCACCACCATCACCACCATCACCACCATCACCACCACCATCATCACTACCACCACCACCATCACCACCACCATCACCATCACCACCATCATCACCACCACCATCACTCACCACCATCACTACCACCATCACCACCACCCATCATCATCACCACCACCATCATCACCGCCATCATCACCACCACCACCACCGCATCAACGGGACAATAATAGCGGCTGATGTCACGTCTCAGTGAGGCACAACACGCACACGTGCTGACAGACTCACACTCACTTACACACTCACTTACACACTCACACACTCACTCACTCACTCACTCACTCACACACTCACTCACACACTTACACACTCACTCACTCACACACTCACCCACTCACCACTCACCCACCCACTGACCCACTCACCCACTCATTTAACCACCCACTCACTCACCCACCCACCCACCCACTCACTCACCCACTCAATCACCTCACTCACCCACTCACCACCCACTCACCCACTCACCCACCCACTCACTCACTCACCCCACTCACCCACTCACTGACTCACTCACCCACTCACTCACTCACTCACCCACTCACTCACTCACCCACTCACTCACTTACCCAACCCACTCACTCACCCACTCACCCACTCACTCACCCACTCACTCCCTCACCCACTCACTCCACTCACCCACTCACTTACCCACTCACTCACTCACCCACTCACTCACCCACTCACTCACTCACCCACTCACTCACTTACCCACCCACTCACTCACCCACTCACCCACTCACTCACCCACTCACTCACTCACCCACTCACTCACCCACTCACCCACTCACTCACTCACCCACTCACCCACTCACCCCACCCACTCACTCACCCACTCACCCACTCACTCACTCACTCACCCACCCACTCACTCACTCACTCACCCACTCACCCACCCACTCACCCACTCACTCACTCACCCACTCACTTACCCACCCACTCACTCACCCACCCACTCACTCACTCACCCACTCACTCACTCACCCACTCACCCACTCACCCACTCACTCACCCCACTCACTCACCCACTCACTCACCCACTCACTCACTCACCCCACTCACCCACTCACTCGCCCACCCACTCAGTAGGGTTGATAAACATTTATTGATACATTGCAAGATACAATCACAGACGCCCCCAACTGGAGTGTAAGGACCTCCCCTAGATCGACTCAGCCTCAAATGAGTAGCTGCAGTACGTGGTGATGGTGGTAGTGGTGGTGTTGTAGCGGTGGTGATGTAGCGGTGGTGGTAGTGGTGGTGGTGTAGCGGTGGTGGTAGTGGTGGTTTAGTGGTGTGTTGTGGTGGTGGTAGTGGTGATGGTGGTAGTGGTGGTGTTGTAGTGGTGGTGGTGGTAGTGGTGGTGGTGGTGTCGTGGGGTGTAGCGGTGGTGTAGTGGTGGTGGTGTAGCGGTGGTGTAGTGGTGGTGGTGTAGCGGTGGTGGTAGTGGTGGTGGTGTAGTGGTGGTGGTTGTAGCGGTGGGTGTTAGTGGTGGTGTTGTAGTGGTGGTGATGTAGCGGTGGTGGTAGTGGTGTAGTGGTTGGTGTATGTAGCGGTGGTGGTAGTGTTGGTGGTGTAGTGGTGGTGGTGGTGTAGTGGGGTGTAGCGGTGGCTGTAGCGGTGGTGGTAGTGGTTGATGGTGGTAGTGGTGGTGTTGTAGTGGTGGTGATGTAGCGGTGGTGGTAGTGGTGGTGGTGTAGCGGTGGTGGTAGTGGTGGTGGTGTAGTGGTGGTGTTGTAGTGGTGGTGGTAGTGGTGATGGTGGTAGTGGTGGTGTTGTAGTGGTGGTGGTGGTAGTGGTGGTGTTGTAGTGGTGGTGATGTATGCGGTGGTGGCAGTGGTGGTGGTGTAGCGGTGGTGTTAGCGGTGGTGGTAGTAGTGGTGTGTAGTGGTGGTTGTAGTGGTGGTAGTGGTGGTGGTGTAGTGGTGGTGGTGTAGCGGTGGTGGTGGTGGTGGTGTAGTGGTGGTGATGTAGCGGTGGTGGTAGTGGTGGTGGTGGTAGTGGTGGTTGGTAGTGGTGGTGGTGGTGTAGTGGTGATGGTAGTGGTGATGGTGGTAGTGGTGGTGGTAGTGGTGGTGGTGTAGCGGTGGTGGTAGTGGTGGTGGTGTAGCGGTGGTGTAGCGGTGGTGGTAGTGGTGTTGGTGTAGTGGTGGTGGTGTAGCGGTGGTGGTAGTGGTGATGGTGGTAGTGGTGGTGGTGGTGTAGTAGTGGTGGTGTAGCGGTGGTGGTAGTGGTGGTGGTGGTGTAGTGGTGGTGGTGTAGTGGTGGTGTAGTGGTGGTGTAGTGGTGGTGGTGTAGTGGTGGTGTAGTGGTGGTGTAGCGGTGGTGTAGCGGTGGTGGTGTAGTGGTGGTAGTGGTGTTGTGGTGTTAGTGGTGGTAGTGGTGGTGGTGCAGTGGTGGTGTAGTGGTGGTGTAGTGGTGGTGGTGTAGTGGTAGTGGTGGTGATGCTGGTGGTGATGGTGGTGGTGATAGTGGTGATGATGATGGAGGTGTGTGTGTGTGTCTTTGTGTGTGTCTGTGTGTCTGTGTGTGTCTGTGTATGTGTCTGTGTGTCTGTCTGTGTGTGTGTCTGTGTGTCTGTGTGTGTGTCTGTGTGTGTGTCTGTGTGTCTGTCTGTGTGTCTGTGTGTGTGTTTCTGTGTCTGTCTGTGTGTGTGTCTGTGTGTGTGTCTGTGTGTGTGTCTGTCTGTGTGTTTGTCTGTCTGTGTGTGTGTCTGTGTAAGTGTCTGTGTGTGTCTATGTGTGTGTGTGTCTTTGTGTCTGTGTCTGTCTGTGTGTGTGTCTGTGTCTGTATGTGTGTATCTGTGTGTGTGTGTCTGTGTGTGTCTGTGTCTGTGTGGTAACTGGTGGTGGGTGAGTGATTGGCTGAGTGAGTGAGTGGGTGAGTGAGTGAGTGAGTGCGTGAGTGGGTGGGTGAGTGAGTGGGTGAGTGGGTGAGTGAGTAGGTGAGTGGGTGGGTGAGTAGATAAGAGTGAGTAGGTGAGTGGGTGGGTGAGTGAGTGGGTGGGTGGGTGAGTGAGTGGGTGAGTGAGTGGTTGAGTGAGTGAATGGGTGATTGGGAGAGTGGGTGGGTGAGTAGGTGAGTGAGTGAGTGGGCGGGTGAGTAGGTGAGTGAGTGAGTGGGTGAGTGGGTAGGTGAGTAGGTGAGTGGGTGGGTGAGTAGGTGAGTAGGTGAGTGAGTGAGTGGGTGGGTGAGTAGGTGAGTGAGTGGGTGAGTGTTTGAGTGGGTGGGTGAGTGGGTGAGTGGTTGAGTGGGTGGGTGAGTGGTTGAGTGAGTGGGTGACTGAGTGGGTGAATGAGTGGTTGAGTGGGTGGGTGAGTGAGTGGCTGAGTGTGTGAGTAGGTGGGTGAGTGAGTGGTTGAGTGGGTGGGTGATTGGTTGAGTGAGTGGGTGACTGAGTGGTTGAGTGGGTGAGTAGGTGAGTGAGTGGGTGAGTGAGTGGGTGACTGAGTGGTTGAGTGGGAGGCTGAGTGGTTGAGTGAGTGGGTGACTGAGTGGTGAATGGGTGGGTGAGTGGTTGAGTGGGTGGGTGAGTGGTAGAGTGAGTGGGTGACTAAGTGGGTGACTGAGTGGTTGAGTGGGTGGGTGAGTGGTTGAGTGAGTGGGTGACTGAGTGGTTGAATGAGTGTGTGAGTGAATGAGTGAGTGTGTGAGTAGGTGGGTGAGTGGGTGAGTGAGTGAGTGGTTGAGTGGGTGGGTGAGTGGGTGAGTGGGTGGGTGAGTGAGTGGTTGAGTGGGAGGGTGAGTGGTTTGAGTGAGTGGCTGAGTGGGTGGGTGATTGGTTGAGTGAGTGGGTGGGTGAGTGGTTGAGTGAGTGGGTTACTGAGTGGGTGACTGAGTGGTTGAGTGGGTGGGTGAGTGGTTGAGTGAGTGGGTGACTGAGTGGTTGAATGTGTTGGTGAGTGAATGGGTGAGTGTGTGAGTAGGTGGGTGAGTGGGTGAGTGAGTGAGTGGTTGAGTGAGTGAGTGAGTGGGTGACTGAGTGGTTGAGTGGGTGGTGAGTGGTTGAGTGAGTGGGTGAGTGAGTGGGTGAGTGAGTGGTTGAGTGGGTGGGTGAGTGGTTGAGTGAGTGGGTGACTGAGTGGTTGAGTGAGTGGGTGACTGAGTGGTTGAGTGGGTGAGTAGGTGGGTGAGTGGGTGACTGAGTGGTTGAGTGGGTGAGTGAGTGGTTGAGTGGGTGACTGAGTGGTTGAGTGGGTGGGTGAGTGGTTGAGTGAGTGGGTGACTGAGTGATTGAGTGAGTGGGTGACTGAGTGGTTGAGTGGGAGGGTGAGTGGTTGACTGAGTGGCTGAGTGGGTGGGTGAGTGGTTGAGTGAGTGAGTGGGTGAGTGAGTGAGTGAGTGGTTGTGTGGGTGACTGAGTGGGTGAGTGAGTGGTTGAGTGGGTGAGTGACTGAGTAGGTGGGTGAGTGGTTGAGTGAGTGGGTGACTGAGTGTGCTAAGGTGGCATTGATAATTCCCAACTATTAAAATCAAATCAAATTATCGTCAAAATCATCATCAGCAGCAGCACGATGCCAGGAGACGTCATAGACAGCAACTTTGATGACGAATTATCCTGAAAGACACAAAGACACTCACATAGACACATACACATAGACACACACACAAATAGACACACACACAGACAGACAGACACACACACAGACACACAGACACACACACAGAGGACACATACACACACACAGACACACACACATAGACACTCACACACATAGACACACACAAATAGACACACACACACAGACACACACACAGACACACACAGACACACACACAGACACACACAGAGACACACACATAGACACACACATAGACACAGACACACAGACACACACAGAGACACACACACACAGACACACACACATAGACACACACACAGACACACACACACACAGACACTCACACACACACAGACACACACACAGACACACACACAGACACACACAGAGACACAGACACACAGACACACACACACATAGACACACACACAGACACACACACACACATAGACACATACACAGACACTCACACATACACACAGACACTCACACACACACAGACACACACACACAGACACACACACACAGACACACACACACATAGACACACACAGACACTCACACACATGCACTCACACACACACACAGACACACACACACACATAGGACACATACACAGACACTCACACATACACACAGACACACACACACACACATAGACACATACACAGGACACTCACACACACACAGACACACACACACAGACACACACACGTGATAGTCTGGACATGGGGATAGAGAGATCTGATTGGCTCACGCGATCGCCCCTCTCCTCATTGGCCGAGCTCCCCTTCGCCCCGCCCCCAGTCGCTGGAGGCGCCGCCTGATTGGTCGGCGTTGGTGGGCGGGGTCCCGACGCTGGCACGCCATTGGTCAAGGACAGGATGGAGGCTTCTGTGGGCAGATTGATGGGGAGGTGGTGAGTGAGTGAGTGGGTGAGTGGGTGGGTGAGTGGGTGAGTGGGTGGGTGAGTGGGTGGGTGAGTGGGTGGGTGATGTGGGTGAGTGGGTGGGTGGGTGAGTGGGTGAGTGAGTGGGTGAGTGAGTGAGTGGGTGAGTGGGTGGGTGGGTGAGTGGGTGTGTGAGTGGGTGAGTGGGTGGGTGAGTGGGTGGGTGAGTGGGTGGGTGAGTGGGTGAGTGGGTGGGTGAGTGAGTGGGTGGGTGAGTGAGTGGGTGGGTGAGTGAGTGAGTGATGTGGGTGAGTGGGTGGGTGAGTGAGTGGGTGAGTGGGTGGGTGGGTGAGTGAGTGGGTGAGTGAGTGGGTGATTGGGTGAGTGAGTGAGTGGGTGAGTGAGTGAGTGGGTGAGTGAGTGGGTGAGTGGGTGGGTGGGTGAGTGAGTGAGTGAGTGGGTGAGTGAGTGGGTGAGTGGGTGGGTGAGTGAGTGGGTGAGTGAGTGAGTGAGTGGGTGAGTGGGTGGGTGAGTGGGTGAGTGGGTGAGTGAGTGGGTGAGTGGGTGAGTGAGTGAGTGGGTGAGTGAGTGAGTGAGTGGGTGAGTGAGTGGGTGGGTGAGTGAGTGGTTGAGTGAGTGGGTGAGTGGGTGGGTGGGTGAGTGAGTGAGTGGGTGAGTGGTGAGTGAGTGGGTGAGTGAGTGGTGAGTGGGTGAGTGAGTGGGTGAGTGAGTGAGTGGGTGGGTGAGTGGGTGAGTGAGTGAGTGAGTGCGTGAGTGGGTGAGTGAGTGGGTGAGTGAGTGAGTGGGTGAGTGATTGGGTGGGTGAGTGAGTAAGTGGGTGGGTGAGTGGGTGAGTGAGTGAGTGGGTGAGTGGGTGAGTGAGTGAGTGGGTGAGTGGGTGAGTGGGTGAGTGAGTGGATGAGTGGGTGAGTGAGTGAGTGAGTGGGTGAGTGAGTGAGTGAGTGGGTGAGTGAGTGGGTGGGTGAGTGAGTGGGTGAGTGAGTGAGTGAGTGGGTGAGTGAGTGGGTGAGTGAGTGGGTGGGTGAGTGAGTGGTGTGAGTGAGTGGGTGAGTGGGTGAGTGAGTGGGTGGGTGAGTGAGTGGGTGAGTGAGTGAGTGGGTAAGTGGGTGAGTGTGTGAGTGAGTGAGTGGGTGAGTGGGTGGTCGTGAGTGAGTGAGTGAGTGGGTGAGTGGGTGAGTGAGTGAGTGAGTGGGTGGGTGAGTGAGTGGGTGAGTGAATGGGTGAGTGAGTGAGTGGGTGGGTGGGTGTGTGGGTGGGTAAGTGAGTGGGTGAATGAGTGGGTGAGTGGGTGGGTGAGTGGGCGAGTGAGTGGGTGGGTGAGTGGGTGAGTGAGTGGGTGAGTGGGTGAGTGAGTGGGTGGGTGAGTGAGTGGGTGAGTGGGTGAGTGGGTGGGTGAGTGGGTGAGTGAGTGGGTGAGTGAGTGAGTGAGTGGGTGGGTGAGTGAGTGGGTGGGTGGGTGGGTGAGTGAGTGGGTGAGTGAATGGGTGAGTGAGTGAGTGGGTGAGTGACTGGGTGAGTGAGTGAGTGGGTGGATGAGTGGGTGAGTGAGTGGGTGAGTAGGTGAGTGAGTGGTGAGTGAGTGGGCGAGTGAGTGAGTGGGTGAGCGAGTGGTTGAGTGGGTGAGTGGGTGAGTGAGTGGGTTAGTGAGTGAGTGGGTGAGTGAGTGAGTGGGTGGGTGAGTGAGTGAGTGGGTGAGTGAGTGGGTGGGTGAGTGAGTGAGTGAGTTGGTGAGTGAGTGAGTAGGTGGGTGTGTGGGTGAGTGAGTGGGTGAGTGAGTGAGTGGGTGAATGGTTGAGTGGGTGGGTGAGTGGGTGAGTGGGTGGGTGAGTGAGTGCGTGGGTGAGTGAGTGTTTTTGAGCGGGTGAGTGGGTGAGTGAGTGGGTGACTGGGTGGGTGAGTGAGTAGGTGAGTGAGTAGGTGAGTGGGTGAGTGAGTAGGTGATTGGGTGAGTAGGAGAGTGAGTAGGTGAGTGAGTAGCTGAGTGAGTAGGTGAGTGAGTGGGTGAGTGAGTAGATGAGTGAGTAGGTGAGTGTGTAGGTGAGTAGGTGAGTGAGTAGGTGAGTAGGTGAGTGTGTAGGTGAGTGGGTAGGTGAGTGGGTGAGTGAGTAGGTGAGTGATTAGGTGAGTGAGTGGGTGAGTGAGTAGGTGAGTAGGTGAGTGGATGAGTGAGTAGGTGAGTAGGTGAGTGTGTAGGTGAGTGAGTGTGTGAGTGGGTGAGTGAGTAGGTGAGTAGGTGAGTATGTAGGTGTGTAGGTGAGTGTGTAGGTGAGTGGGTGAGTAGGTGAGTGAATAGGTGAGTGTGTACCTGAGTGAGTAGGTGAGTGTGTAGGTGAGTGAGTAGGTGAGTGAGTGGGTGAGTAGGTGAGTGTGTAGGTGAGTAGGTGAGTGTGTAGGTGAGTGTGGAGTTGAGTAGGTGAGTGTGTAGGTGAGTAAGTAGGTGAGTAAGTAGGTGAGTAGGTGAGTGTGTAGGTGAGTGTGTAGGTGAGTAGGTGAGTGTGTAGGTGAGTAGATGAGTGAGTAGGTGAGTGAGTAGGTGAGTGTGTAGGTGAGTGTGTAGGTGAGTGAGTGGGTGGGTGAGTGTGTAGGTGAGTAGGTGAGTGTGTGAGTGTGTAGGTGAGTGGGTGGGTGAGTGAGTGAGTGGCGTGAGTGACGTGGGTGAGTGGGTGAGTGAGTGAGTGGGTGTGTAGGTGAGTGTGTGAGTGTGTGGGTGTGTAGGTGAGTGTGTAGGTGAGTGTGTAGGTGAGTGTGTGAGTGTGTGGGTGTGTAGGTTAGTGTGTAGGTGAGTGTGTGAGTGTGAGTGTGTAGGTGAGTGTGTAGGTGAGTCAGTGGGTGGGTGAGTGTGTGAGTGAGTGAGTGTGTAGGTGAGTCTGTAGGTGATTGAGTGTGTGAGTGTGTAGGTGAGTAGGTGAGTGAGTAGGTGAGTAGGTGAGTGTGTAGTTGAGTGAGTGTGTGAGTGGGTGGGTGAGTAAGTGAGTAGGTGAGTATGTAGGTGTGTAGGTGAGTGTGTAGGTGACGTGGGTGAGTAGGTGAGTGAATAGGTGAGTGTGTACCTGAGTGAGTGGGTGAGTAGGTGAGTGAGTAGGTGAGTAGGTGAGTGTGTAGGTGAGTAGGTGAGTGTGTACGTGAGTAAGTAGGTGAGTAAGTAGGTGAGTAAGTGAGTGTGTAGGTGAGTGTGTAGGTGAGTAGGTGAGTGTGTAGGTGAGTAGATGAGTGAGTAGGTGAGTGAGTAGGTGAGTAGGTGATTGTGGCGTTGAGTGAGTAGGTGAGTGTGTAGGTGAGTGTGTAGGTGAGTAGGTGAGTGTGGAGTTGAGTAGTTGAGTGTGTAGGTGAGTGTGTAGGTGAGTGTGTGAGTGTGTGGGTGTGTGGGTGTGTACGTGAGTGTGTGTGTGTGAGTGTGTAGGTGAGTGTGTGAGTGTGTAGGTGAGTGTGTAGGTGAGTGGGTGGGTGAGTGAGTGTATGAGTGTGTGAGTGTGTAGGTGAGTGAGTGAGTGTGTGAGTGTGTAGGTGAGTGGGTGAGTGAGTGAGTGGTGTGTGTGGGTGAGTGGGTGAGTGTGTAGGTGAGTGTGTGAGTGTGTGGGTGTGTAGGTGAGTGTGTTGGTGAGTGTGTGAGTGTGTGGGTGTGTAGGTGAGTGTGTAGGTGAGTGTGTGAGTGTGTGAGTGTGTACTTGAGTGTGTGTGTGTGAGTGTGTAGGTGAGTGTGTATGTGACGTGAGTGGGTGGGTGAGTGTGTGAGTGAGTGTGTGTGTAGGTGAGTGTGTAGGTGAGTGAGTGTGTGAGTGTGTGAGTGTGTGGGTGTGTACGTGAGTGTGTGTGTGAGTGTGTAGGTGAGTGCGTGAGTGTGTGAGTGTGTAGGTGAGTAGGTGAGTGTGTAGGTGAGTGTGTAGGTGAGTGTGTAGGTGAGTGTGTGAGTGTGTGAGTAGGTGAGTGTGTAGGTGAGTGTGTGTGTGTAGGTGAGTAGGTGAGTGTGTAGGTGAGTAGGTGAGTGTGTAGGTGAGTGGGTGAATGGGTGAGTGAGTAGGTGAGTAGGTGAGTGTGTAGGTGAGTAGGTGAGTGTGTAGGTGAGTGTGGAGTTGAGTAGGTGAGTGTGTAGGTGAGTAAGTAGGTGAGTGTGTAGGTGAGTAGGTGAGTGTGTAGGTGAGTAGATGAGTGAGTAGGTGAGTGAGTAGGTGAGTGTTGTAGGTGAGTGTGTAGGTGAGTGAGTGGGTGGGTGAGTGTGTGGGTGAGTAGGTGAGTGTGTGAGTGTGTGGGTGAGTGGGTGGGTGAGTGAGTGAGTGGGTGAGTGAGTGGGTGAGTGGGTGAGTGAGTGGGTGAGTGAGTGAGTGGGTGTGTAGGTGAGTGTGTGAGTGTGTGGGTGTGTAGGTGAGTGTGTAGGTGAGTGTGTAGGTGAGTGTGTGAGTGTGTGGGTGTGTAGGTGAGTGTGTAGGTGAGTGTGTGAGTGTGAGTGTGTAGGTGAGTGTGTAGGTGAGTCAGTGGGTGGGTGAGTGTGTGAGTGAGTGAGTGTGTAGGTGAGTGTGTAGGTGATTGAGTGTGTGAGTGTGTGAGTGTGTAGGTGAGTGAGTAGGTGAGTAGGTGAGTGTGTAGTTGAGTGAGTGTGTGAGTGCGTGAGTGAGTAAGTGAGTAGGTGAGTATGTAGGTGTGTAGGTGAGTGTGTAGGTGAGTGGGTGAGTAGGTGAGTAAATAGGTGAGTGTGTACCTGAGTAAGTAGGTGAGTAGGTGAGTGAGTAGGTGAGTAGGTGAGTGTGTAGGTGAGTAGGTGAGTGTGTACGTGAGTAAGTAGGTGAGTAAGTAGGTGAGTAGGTGAGTGTGTAGGTGAGTAGGTGAGTGTGTAGGTGAGTAGATGAGTGAGTAGGTGAGTGAGTAGGTGAGTAGGTGAGTGTGGAGTTGAGTGAGTAGGTGAGTGTGTAGGTGAGTGTGTAGGTGAGTAGGTGAGTGTGGAGTTGAGTAGTTGAGTGAGTAGGTGAGTGTGTAGGTGAGTGAGTGTGTG